CGGGGGCGCAGACCGTGACTCCAGTCTCCTGCCTGGGCCGGGCCGCTTCTGATTGCTCTTTAAATAAAACCCGGCCCAACTGGGTCTGAAAAACCTGCAGCCCCAAGTCGGGGCGGCCTCGGTGGTAAGATGGCGCCGGTGTAAGAGCTGCCTCCTCTTAGTGATGGGGAAAGGGTCATAAATCCGTTGTTGTTTATGAAAATTTACAACTTTGCAATACAACTTTATGAGTTGTTCGGCCCTTCCATTGGCCGCTGTCGGTCATGTGGATGGGAACCGTGAACATGAACTTTTTTATAATTTCCCTTGCGAGAATAGAGCCGCATTCTTTTGCTCCGCTCCGTCCTGCTTGCTTCGGAGCTCAGCCTTCCAGCCGGCTCGGCTGCGCTTTGTCCGGCGATGGCGAGCGAGGCGAGGGCCCGGCCCGGCCCGGCTCGGCCGCTCCTGCTGGAGGTGGGGCGCGCCCAGTTCCCGGCGCCGCCGCGGCCGCTTTGCAACTCGCAACCTGGCTAATTTCCTGCGTCCTCTGGCACCAGGAAGGAGGTCGATTCGTCTCTCCGGGCTGCTCAAGCGACAGCTGTCAGAGGGGCAGGAGCTTCTGGGAGCCGCCATCTGAAGGTAAGACATGTGGGGAGACACACGCAAAGGTGGTGAGATGGCAGGCGGCGCCGGTGGTGGGAGAGGGCACCCAGGGCGGCTTTGGAGAGGGGCGAGGGGCAAACTCGCCCTCACCCGCATTCCCCGGTTCCCACTCGCCCCCCCAACACACACCACCGCCCCCAACTCCCCCCTCCCCCTCGTCGCCTCCCCTTCTCCCGTCCCTGGCTAACCAAGGCTGTAAGTGCCCACCTCCCTTCGGTGGCACAGCACCCTGACAAGGGGCAGGAGCACTGAAGTCTTCTCGCTCCCATCCCCAGCGACCTCCGGGAACCCAAAAGGTAGTGGCCCTGCACACTGCGTTCCCCACTAGCATTTCAGTTTGGATTTCTTTTCTTTCCTTTTTTTTAAAATTCATGACCCAATTGATTCGATTGAATTCTTCAACAATAGGAAGCAATTCCTGACCTGGGAAGGTGTGGAGAGGTGAGGCAAAGTGAGTTCATGGACAGGCGTTTTGTTGACAGCAACACAACACCTTCCAGTCGGTAGGAATTGATTTCGGGACGAATAGGTGGAATGAAGGAAAACCCCAAAACTTACTAATTCAGCCAGTCTCCTGATGCTTGCCTGCTTCCCTTCCCGCGGTTTTCCGAGGAGAGAGGTTTCTGAAGCGACGGGAGAGGGAACGCAGGGGTGCAATTCTGTTTTGGAAGAGAGGTTGGGTTAATTGACTGGGTGTTGCTTGGCGGAAAGTTTCGGTGCAGACAACGTTGTGGTGTTGCTGCGAGTGGCGGGGCCCCGCAGCTGAGGTTGGCGGAAGGACGCAAAACAAGTCTGGGCGGTAGGGGGACCCACCCGCACCTACCCTGGCCAGCGGGCTGGCGACCGTGCGCCCCGCCTCGCGTGAGCCCAAAGGACTGTGGAGGCGTCCGGAAGGAGGCGCGGAGGGTGCCTCGAGCATTGGTTTTAAGTGACAGGGTGGCACCGACTGTGGCTTGGCCTCGGTGAGCCTCGGCCAGATTTGCCCCGGGAGCTTTCTGGGCTCGCAACCAGAAAGGATCCTGAGGTTCTGGGCTCGAGTTCTTTTGATTTGCTTTTTGTTTTTTTGGTGATTGTTGTTTTCCCATCTTAAAATTCTATCTTGGTACACAATAGGTCAAAAGAAGGGACTGTGCGCGACTGCGATGCCCACCAGCGCCGTGGGTGCGCTCCAGACGGTTAAAGCTGCGCATTTGCATGGCAGGGCCGCGGGCTGCTTGACTGCGGCTGCCTCGGGCAGATTATTTATTGCGACCGCGCTGGGCGCTCGCTGCTGCCACGCTGTGGCCGTCGCCGGGACCAGCGCCAGTCACAGCCCCGCGTCGTGCTGCCTGGCGCGATTGCTGCGCGGGCCCCTCAGAGATTCCCCAGCAGGCGGAGGAGCGGGGGGCGAGGGAGGACCCGAGGGGCGGCCTCCCACGGCCTGACGGGCCGGGATCCACTCTCACCTTGGCCAGCTCTGACAGGAGCTGGACGCCCGACTACATTCGAGCCCTCCTCCCGCCCCCCCACAACCCCAGCACCATGGAGACTGGTTGGTTCCACAGGCCGCCTGGCACGTCATGGCTGCTTCTGTCCAAACTGCGCGCCCCAAGGCGCCCAGGGGGGCGCACGCTGGTTCGGCAACGCGACCGCTTTGGGATTTTGAAATCGGAGAGACCACTTGTAGTCCTGAGGCCTGCAGGCCTGCCTAGCCCTGAGGAGGATTGGTTAAAGCAAGGAAGGCGGGCTTTGGCTCCAGGCAAGGGCCTGTGACAGGCAGAGGCCGCACCTGTGTATCATGGGCTCTGGCCTGGCCTAGAGATCCCAGCGGAGGAGGTGGCCTTCAAGGTGCCCCACAGACACTAGCAGGCCACCCTCCAGACTGGCAGAAGTCGAGGAGCTCAGTGGGCAGCCCAGGGAATGAGCAGACTGTGGGGTCCTGCTCACCATCCTGACCCCTTGAAGAGTAACTGAAAGGTAAGTGAAATTTTTGTGTGGTTTTGACTGAGAAGAGAGGGAGCTCTGGTGACCATTCTCACCATCCCAAGACAGGCTCCCTCCAGTGAGTGCAGTGGGCTCTATTCTTGCCTGAGTGTCTCTCTCTCTCTCTCTCATTCATATATATATATGTATACACACACATATACACACACACATACACACGTGAAATAAATTGAGCAGCTGCCAACATGATATGTACCAGCCTTGGCTAACACATAGAGATTTCAATTTAATATATTTTTCCCTCTTAGTGCCTATAGAAGCTATAAATATAATGCCTTTTTGGCTCTTAGGTGAGAAATCAAATTTTCTCGTTGGCTGGGACAATTATTAGATCGAGAATCCAGGTCAAACCATAACAAATAATAATAGGAGTAGTAAACTGCCACCAGCTCCAACACTGTGTGGAACCTGGAGGGATGAAACAGAAATTATAAATGTAAACATTTATCAACATCTCCAAATGGTGGTTTTCATCTTACGTAATCAGGACTTGCTTGAAATCACTGTCATCTGATGGGCTTGTTAAGAAACAATAACTCAAACCAAATTTTCTTCTATCGTAACTTTTAGGAAACATTTCTTTAAAAAAATGTTTTTATTTGTGAGTTTTCATTTTTACCTATCAGTCCCCTTTCCTGAAGAAATGCAAGAGAAATGTTAAATTCTACCTTCTCCTGCCAGGCCCTCCTTTATCTATGCAAAGGAGAAACTTTCCGGCTTGGGTTGATTTGGGCATAGGCAGCGGCTTCTGGGCAATCCCTGTCTAGTGGGTGGCAGCCGCGGTCAAGGGGTGCCTCCTTGGCTCTGGAGAGGCCCGCGTTAGGCCAGCCCTTTTCCAAATTTTTCCCTTTGGGGAAATGAAGGCAGGGAGGAAATGGGAATGTAAGGAGATTAAGGATGTCGCTGCCTGGTTTCTAAGGAGGCATTGCCACCCCCAAATCCTAAACCCCGTCAGCCTGCATTTGTCTGTTTCACAGATATTATAAATACCCTCCAGAAATTCAACCAAATTGTCTAAGTAGTTTTTCTTCACCCTTCTCAGGACTGAGAATTTTAAAGCTAATTCATGGGGTTTTACAAGCCCAACAAAGACAGCCATAAAAATGCTATTGGAAAGAAATCACACTACAAAATGAGGTTGGTCCATGTGCTGTTAAAGTCAACTATCTGGAAGGTACACCCCTCTGGCGAGAGCAGCCCAGGACAGGCTTTTCATGTCCTGCCTGGGGAAGGTCAGGCCTGGGACTACAGTAAAGGCAATTCAGATGATTTCTGGAAAGGGTGAGGCAACTGTTTCCGATTCTGGAGCGACTGCAGGCGGCAGACTCCGGAGCAGTCCCAGGAAGGGCAGGAAAGAGGGCACACAGCAGGATGGTGCTGGCAAGGGGCACCCCAGAAAATGACTACATCAATTATTCCCAGGCCTTGGACCCCCGACACCGAGGTGCCCGCTGTGCGGGCTGGGCCAGGAGCCCTGGGTCACCCAAGGTTTTGAAATGAGGGCAGATTCCACATCTGGATCTGTCTCAGCTCTGAGTTGGTCCCGGTGGCAGAGGGGGAGTACTGAGGTGCTGGGTGAAGAGTGTGGGTACCACGGCTGGTTTCCCAGCTCAGTCTCACAGGCACGCCACTGTAGGTCCCTTTCTTGTGGAAACCAGTGGTTTCTGGCCTCGGTTCCTGGGTTCAAAGGAGGGACGCAGGGAGGGGGGGCGCACAGCGGGTGGAGGTGCCTGGTGAGGCCAGGCAGCCGAAGGTCTTTGAGGGGGGAGCCCAAGAGGGCTCAGAGGAGACTGTTCTCGGTGGGAAGGGGAGGGGGAGGCGGGGAAGAGACTGCGTTTGGCCGCACCCCGGTCAGCTCGAGGTGAGCCTTCCGCTGTCGGCGGCGTGGGCCAGGCCCCTGGCGAGAGTGGGGACGGAGAGCAGGCGGGGATCCTCCGAACCTTGGGCGCGGAAGTGAGGCGCAGGGCGCGAAAGGCCTGGTCTCTCGGACCCCCTTCTCCGGCTCGGAACCCGCACCCACGGGTAGGGGGGCGCAGGGGGAGGGGCAAACTCAGGGCCCAGCTGGGAGGGCCGGCGGGCAGGGAGCAAAGCCATCCTTGTCACCGCCCCTCCAGCAGCGGGGCTGTCAGGTTTCCTGTTTGGAGAGGAAAACCCAGCAAAATCCAACACGGCAAAAAGGGGAGGAGGAAGGAGCGGGCCTGGCGAGGCCCGAGCGGCGGCCCGGGCTCCGATGCCCCTCGCCTGACCTGATCCGCGCGCCCGGGTCCGGGCCGTGCCCGCCGCTGGCGTCGGGAGCAGAGCCGGGCCGGCCGACTGTGCGCGCCCATTAATCTGCCGGGCGGGCGGCGGGCGGGCGGGCTGGGGGCTGTTTGTAACTTTGCTGCCTCGGTCGCCGCGGTCCCCGGGGAGCGGGCTCCGGCGCTCGCTCCCATTGGCCGCCGCCGCGTCAGCTGGTGCGATTTGCTGCTGTCGCTTTTGGCGTTCGGCCATCCAGAAACAAACCAGTTCGATGACTACTAATAGTTATAGCCAGATGTACTAATACACAACAAATCACAGTCCTGCAGAGGGGCGCGCAAATGAGTTCCTATTTTGTGAATCCCACTTTCCCCGGGAGCCTGCCCAGCGGCCAGGACTCCTTCTTGGGACAGCTGCCCCTCTACCCGGCCGGCTATGACGCGCTGAGGCCCTTCCCGGCCTCGTACGGGGCGTCGAGCCTCCCGGACAAGACGTACACCTCACCTTGTTTCTACCAACAGTCCAACTCGGTTCTGGCCTGCAACCGGGCGTCCTACGAGTACGGGGCCTCGTGTTTCTATTCTGATAAGGACCTCAGTGGCGCCTCGCCCTCGGGCAGTGGCAAGCAGAGGGGCCCCGGGGACTACCTGCACTTTTCTCCCGAGCAGCAGTACAAACCCGACAGCAGCAGCGTGCCGGGCAAAGCCCTCCATGACGAAGGCACCGACCGGAAGTACACGAGTCCTGTTTACCCCTGGATGCAGCGGATGAACTCCTGCGCGGGTAAGGCATTTCCCTGCAGCCCCCCCAGGAGAGTGAAGGGAGAGGGGAAGGAGGCAGGGCAAGAAGGAAGGAAGCAGAAGGAGAGAGAGCAGGTAGAAGCAGAGCGAGGAAGGAAGGAGGACAGAATGAACAAAGTTTCTTGGGCTTGAAGAAAAGAGATGAAAAAGGAAAGGCCAGCCCATTCCCAGTGGAGCAATCAGGCTGTGGCAGAGAAAGTAAGTCAGTAGTGTCCACGTAAGGTGACACCTTAGGGGAGGGTGGGGGGCTCCCTGCCACATTAGGGAGCTCCTTGACAGAGACAACCAGGAGAGAGAGTGAGGCTGGATGGGAGGGAGGGAGGGCTTGCTCACCCAGCGCCCTGCTCAGATCCCCAAGCCTGAGTGGACTTCTGCACCCATCACTGATAACTCCCCATTCGCCCCCAGCCCTCTCTCCTTCCTGCCCTCTAGAAATCCACAAAGATAGAGACCTGCATCTGGCCTCTTCCAGTGTCTCCCCAAAGCTTTGGAGGGCCACATTCCCAGCCTCAGGATTTTTCTATCCCTCCTCCCAACCCTCCTCCCCCTTCCACTCAACTGCTCACTCACAGCTAACTTCTGCCTCTCTCTGAGGCCCTGCCTGAGTCTCACACACCCAACTGGAAGAGAGCCCCCCACCCATGGGCCCCTCTGGCACCAGAACAGATAGTCCAACACAGTCCTACATTCCCAGAAACACCAGATGGCCCCAAACTTCAACTCTGTCCCTGGTTTCCAAAAACTCCACAGGGACTCCTTGGAGTAGGACAGTGCCTAATGCGGATTTTTAAACTTAGAGCGTCTTTGCTTTAAAATCCACTTTTCCCTCCAAGGGAGCTCTGTTTTTCTCAGAAGAGCCATCCATATAATTTGGGGGAATTTGCAAAGATTTGCGAGGGCTGATCACTTAAATTGTCCCCAAAGCGTGATGAGTCCTGGAATGGCTGGTCACAGTAGCATCTTCATGGAGATCCGTGTGTGAATTCAGAGTGTCTGACCTACACACCGGGTTCCACACCTACCCACTCCCAGAAACACGCACCACAATCACACAAAAATACGGGGAGGGTATCCTGCATTCAGAATGCTCATTCCCTTATTTTGCTGGTAATGATTTTCTTACGGAGCAGGTTTTTCAAAAACAAAAACTGCCCCCTCCCAGGTCGTTTGAGGTGGAAAATGTCTCGCTTGGTATGAAATAATCTCCCATCCAGCCGACTTCTGCCCCAGACATAGGTGGGAGAGGCTGGAGAGAAGGTGGGTGGGTTCCAGCCCCGAGGCCCGGGGTGCTGGGCGCGCGGGGCTGACTGGCTCGTCCGGAACTCTGGCTTACCGGCGCCCGGCCACTTCTGCCCGCAGGTGCTGTGTACGGGAGTCACGGGCGCCGGGGCCGCCAGACCTACACGCGCTACCAGACGCTGGAGCTGGAGAAGGAGTTCCACTTCAACCGCTACCTGACGCGGCGCCGCCGCATCGAGATCGCCAACGCGCTCTGCCTCACCGAGCGCCAGATCAAGATCTGGTTCCAGAACCGCCGCATGAAGTGGAAAAAGGAAAATAAACTCATCAATTCCACACAGCCCAGCGGGGAAGACGCTGAGGCCAAGGCGGGCGAGTAGACGCCTGGGCAGGAACCAGGCCAGCGCGGCAACAACCTCCCTCGGCTTTGCCCCTTTGCCTTCGCCTGCTCCCCAACTTTTCTCTCCGCCTGCTCCCAGCCAGGGGCTTACGCAGCTTCAGGGGAACCCAGAGCTTTGCAAACGCCTAAGCATTTTATTCCTTACAAAACAAACAAACAAACAACAAAGCCACACAGCCAATCCCGGCAGTGGAGCGGGGCGCTTTGCACACACAGTCCGGGTCTCCAAGGCTGCCCAAGCCGGCTCCGGATCCCAGGGAGCGCCCCGAGTTCGTCCCCGGCTCTTGTGCTAGCGCCTCTGCACGCCCCTGAGCTCGGGACGCGGGGTTGCTGGCGAGGAAAGAACCCCGGACCGAGCCCCGTTTGGTGTCTGGGCGTTTCCGCCTCGACCCCTGGCCACTAAACCCCTCGGAGGGCACCACCGAATCGACTCAGACCACTGCAAAGGGGAGGCCTAAGGGCTGGGGCTCCAGCCCTGCGGTGGCCTCTCAGGCCGCCCCCATACAGGAAGAAGCTCGAAGAACAAAGGGGCTCCCCGAGAGAGAGCCTAGTCTTTCGGCCCGGCGCACAACCGTCCGTGGAAGAGGAGAAGCCTCAGTCGAGCTGAGCCAACGTGGGTGTGGGTGGAACTTTACAGCCCCAGGAACGACTGGGCTCCTGAAGGCTCCGGACCCCGGGGTACAGCTCCCGCCTCTGAAATTAACGGCTCTGCCACCACAGCAGCTTTCAGGACCTAAGGAGGAGGCCCAGGGTCACGGGAGCGGCAAGGGTCCGGGCTTACAAGCGTGCCAGGGGCGAGTGCTACGCCAGTCCCCCCCAGGGGCGGCCCCCTTGTCTTTCAGCTGTATTTGTGCTTTACTTTGGTCGTTCAGAACCCAGGAAAATAACTACGGATGTCGTAGGCACTGCCAAGAAATGTTTCCACTTGCGCCCTCATTCTACTCCAGGAGGTTTCAGCAAGACCCCAATAACGCGGCCCACGGATCCCCAGACCTCAAGCAGCTTCTGTGGTTGCGGGGAGCCTGAACCCCCTCACTGGGCTCGCCAAGAACTCTGAGAACTGGGGGCCGACTGACTCGAGGAAAGGAATCCAGAGGTGAAGATTCTCCAAGCTGGATGCTTAAAAGTAAATCAAATAGCAAACTAATGACACGAAAACCTTATTTACACGAAGGAAAAATCGACTCTGGCTATCAAAGTGTATGGAATTTGACCTCGCCTAGGAGAAACACTACACAAAAGCTATCTTTAATAGACGCCTGTCATTTAAGAGCGGCAGGGACACTGTCCCTCATGCGCTCGCAAAAACAGAGCCGTAATTGTAGCTGCTGCTGCGGGCAGGATTTATTTCTCCAATTGGCTAAATGGCCTCCCCCCTTCCCCGAAGGTGATATCTGTATTTTCAAATATCAGAGCTGGCGTCAGGATGGGCAGAACCGACCCCAATCGCAACACAAAAATAAGAGGGGCTGCACAGCGGGGAAATAAAGTTGTTGTAAATAAAATCCAAGTCACCATCTCCCCCCCGGTCTTCTGCATCCTCGCCCGGCGCGCGATCGGCAGCTGACGGCCTCACAATTGGTACATCCTAATGGAACTGCGAGGGAAATGCAATAATTTTGCCATAATGGGCTGTAACCTCAATTCGACCCCGGCCCTTGCAGCCCAGGGTCGGAAGCGGAGCGATGCGCTCTGCCTCCAGCGGGTGGCGCTCGAGTCCGACTGAACGGCGGCGGCGGACGGCGGGCACGCGCCCGAGGCGCGCGCTCCACCCCTCTCGCCTCCACCCAACTCCCCCATTAGTGCACGAGTTTACCTCTAGAGGTCATCAGGCAGGATTTACGACTGGACAACAAAAGCACGTGATTCGAAGTCGTACCCCATATTTGGGTGCCTACGTAGGAGGGAACCAAGTACATGTCCCAGTCATTTCCATAATTCATCATAAATTGTGCAAGGGTGCTATAGACGCACAAACGACCGCGAGCCACAAATCAAGCACACATATCAAAAAACAAATGAGCTCTTATTTTGTAAACTCATTTTGCGGTCGCTATCCAAATGGCCCGGACTACCAGTTGCATAATTATGGAGATCATAGTTCCGTGAGCGAGCAATTCAGGGACTCGGCGAGCATGCACTCCGGCAGGTACGGCTACGGCTACAATGGCATGGATCTCAGCGTCGGCCGCTCGGGTTCCGGCCACTTTGGCTCCGGGGAGCGCGCCCGCAGCTACGCGGCCGGCGCCAGCGCGGCGCCCGCCGAGCCCAGGTACAGCCAGCCGGCCACGTCCACGCACTCGCCTCCGCCCGACCCGCTGCCCTGCTCCGCTGTGGCCCCCTCGCCCGGCAGCGACAGCCACCACGGCGGGAAAAACTCCCTGGGCAACTCCAGCGGCGCCTCGGCCAACGCCAGCAGCACCCACATCAGCAGCAGAGAGGGGGTTGGCACGGCGTCCGGAGCCGAGGAAGACGCCCCCGCCAGCAGCGAGCAGGCGAGCGCGCAGAGCGAGCCGAGCCCGGCGCCGCCCGCCCAGCCCCAGATCTACCCCTGGATGCGCAAGCTGCACATAAGTCATGGTAAAGCCAGCCTTTTTCTCACTCCACGCGGCCAGGGGGACGCGGCTTTCGGTCCCTTCTCTCTTTCACCGCCTGCTCTCCCCGTCTCTCTCCCGGTCTTGCCTCTCCCAGCCCCGTGGAGCCTCTCCCCGCCGCTCGCTCGCCTTCCCCCGCCTGCCTCCTCCTCTTCTCTGCAGCACCCCGTGCTCGCACATGGAGGGAGGGGGACAGCCGCTGGCCAGGCAAGTTTAGGCGTGGAAAGAGGGGGGAAAGGAAAAAAAATACCCACATCGAACCCCAGCGCCTGGGAGCGCGCTCCCGGGTCAGGCCCGCAGAGCAGGGCGCAGAGAGGTAGAGGATGGCAGTGGAGGCCGTGAATCGGGCTTGTCAGGGCGGATAATTTATGAGGAGGGCTGCGCTGGGGAAACAGCGTTACTAATTAGAGTCCCCCCGAAAAGGGGCTTGGGGGGAATGATCCAGGCGAGAGCTGGCCGAGTTCTGAAGTTGGGGGCAGGAGGGAGAGCAGGGGAGGGAAGGGAAGCAAGAGAAAGCAGGAGCCCCGAGCCTGCAGCCTGGAACTGGAGGCGGCTCGAGGGACTGGAACTTTAGGGGAGGCTGACCTGGAGGCCACTTGGGCGCTCAGGAAAGGGCCTTACTTAGGGAGGTTTCCGAGCGGTGGGCAGCCTGGGAGAGCTGCTGCGTCCCTGGCACGGGGCGCTAGGGGCAGGAGCAGAGGGCAGGAGAGGGGAGAGGGAAAACCCAGCGATCCTCCGGACGGGCTCCAGCCTCAGCTGGGCCGATTGTTTCCAGAGTCCAAATCGTATTGTTTTCTCTCTAGAAAGGAAGAGGGAAGGAAATTCGGGAGGGGTGGCGGGCGAGGAGGGAGGACTTGTTGAGTTTCTCTCCCCTATTCCCTGCTCCGGACTCTGGCTCATCCAGCTGGCGAACTTTGGTAGCCAGGGGCTGAGGAGTTGGTGGCTAAACCGCTTTTTCTGTTGCAGACAACATAGGCGGCCCGGAAGGCAAAAGGGCCCGGACGGCCTACACTCGCTACCAGACCTTGGAACTGGAGAAGGAGTTCCACTTCAACCGCTACCTGACCCGCCGAAGACGGATTGAAATAGCACATGCTCTTTGCCTCTCCGAGAGACAAATTAAAATCTGGTTCCAAAACCGGAGAATGAAGTGGAAAAAAGATAATAAGCTGAAAAGCATGAGCATGGCGGCGGCGGGAGGGGCCTTCCGCCCCTGAGTATTTGAGCGTTTAAAGTACTGAGCAGTATTAGCGGATCCCGCGTAGTGTCAGTACTAAGGTGACTTTCTGAAACTCCCCTGTGTTCCTTCTGTGAAGAAGCTCTGTTCTCGTTGCCCTAATTCATCTTTTAATCATGAGCCTGTTTATTGCCATTATAGCGCCTGTATAAGTAGATCTGCTTTCTGTTCATCTCTTTGTCCTGAATGGCTTTGTCTTGAAAAAAAAAAAAATAGATGTTTTAACTTATTTATATGAAGCAAGCTGTGTTACTTGAAGTAACTATAACAAAAAAGAAAAGAGAAAAAAACACACAAAAAAGTCCCCCTTCGACCTCGTTTAGTGCCAATGTTGTGTGTTGCACTCCAGTTGTTTAACTGTGCATGTGAGTGGAAGTGTTCCTGTCTCAATAGCTCCAAGCTGTTAAAGATATTTTTATTCACACTACCTATATTCCTTGTGTAACTAATGCTGTTGTAGAGGTGACTTGATGAGACACAACTTAACTTGTTTGACGTGTAGTGACTAGTGACTCTGTGACGAAAACTGTGACTCTGAGCGGTGTGTCCCTGCGTGCCTTTGTAGGACCCTTTGCACGAACTCTGGAAGTGGCTCTTATAAGCGCAGCTTCAGTGATGTATGTTTTTGTGAACAAAGTTACAAATATTGTCCAAGTCTGGCTGTTTAAGCAAACTGTGATCAGCTTTTTTTTTTTTTTTTTTTGTATTTGTTTTTAAGGAAAAAAATACTGACTGGAAACAAAAAAATAAACTTTCTATTGTAAGTTCTCTTGGTCTGGTTTGTGCCAAAGAGCGAGCGCCCCTTCCTGCTCTTCTGTCTGTCGAGTCCTGGAAGGTTGTGTGTCTGAGGCTACCTGAGCAGCCTCCCAATGCAAGGAGACCTCAGACCAACGACCTCGGCCTCTATAACTCTGACCCATCAGAAAGTTCAGGACAAAAGGTAGAAAAGCTGTAGGTGGTTCCAAAGCCTGAGTCCAACTTGCCCATCTCTGAGGAACCAACTTAAGTTGCTGGGTACAAAAAAAAGGAAGAGAGAGAAAGGAGAAAATACCCAAGGCTTTGTTAGCGGCCCTGAGGGCCCACACATATGCTACCTCTTTCCTGAGGCCATTCTAGGCCTCCACTTGCTGAAAAGCCTGGGGTGCCAGTTGTGGCCCCCAAGCCCTCTGTCCCTAACCCACCCAGGCACCCCTTCCCTCCTCACCCTGAACCCAGTTGGCTTCTTTTTCTACAATTAATTAGCTACAAATGGAAGGTACTTACCCCATCCTAGCTTGATTGGGAAACTCCTCAGAGCGGCTAAGCGCAACTAGAGATTTGCACATTTACCGACTGCTTACACTGATGCCGTCTTTCCTTTTAAAAGTTATAAAACAGTAAACTTTATAAGCCCCAGTTCCGGCTATATGACATTTGGGTGCCAAATGAATAGGGTTTTGTCTATGAATTAGATCGTAAAATCATCCATAGCACAGACAGATCGGCTCACTGGCTATAAAACGTCACGTGGGGCCATTAAAGTAAGTTTTATGGTTTTGGGGAGTTGACATCCAACATTATATACCACATAACATATAATCTCACTGACGCTGGACTCCATTTGACTCTTTTGCAGGCTACGTGTGCCGCCTGGTCATTCAAATTGTCAATTTTAGGTCCAGAAGTGTCCAAACCACAAGTTCTCAAAACTCTGAAAAATGGCTCCCTTCGAGTTAAGGTAAGCTCCTGAGCACTTTTGAGTTTATTTGTACTCTGAAAACTTTTTTCCTCGAGATCCCTTCTCTCTCTCTCTGTCTCTCTCTCTCTGTCTCTCTCTCTCTTTCTCTTTCTCACTTTGAGGTTGCCTCTGAATTCAAAAGGGAGAGCAAACTTTTCCCCTGCCCAAATTAGCAGCGCCAGGAGCCAGCTTTGCGGAGACACTGGGGTGAAAAGCGCCAGTGGCCGCGCCGCATCCCCAGGCCTAACTTTAATTGCTGCCCAACCGCGGATGTTAATGACTTCCGCTGCTTTCGCCGGCTTGCAAAAAGATGATTTTTGTGCGCGAATGGGCCTGTGTGTGGAGACTTGGCAGAGCCGCCCCCCCCATTCGGGAGCTGGCCGCTCTCAGCTCTTGGGGGTCCGGGAGCCCTAGGGTGGGGGCTGGGAGACAGTGGGGCGCCGGTCGCGGGGCGCGGGGGCCGCGTTGCGCGCTTGGAAGTGCTTGAGAGTTTGAAAGAAAGGCCTGGGCAGGGCCGAGGCGGACTCTGGCGGGATTCCTTGTGGGGCTGTCGCAATATGTCTTCGCGGGCTGGGGTCATTTGGCAGGACTGAATTGAGGCGGCGGCCTTCGGGGCTGGGTTTCAGGCCGGCTCATGAGAGGCTGAGGGTGGCAGAGACCAGCGAGGCACGGGCCGCACCTCCAGGCTGGGCCCCTGGGTTGCGAGCTGAGACCAGGCCGCTGGCACCCACGGGACACTGGGACCCGGGGACCCCCACCTGGGGAGAGGCCTCAGCATCCCCTCCCCCTCCCTGGGCACCAGGCCCTGAACCTTGTTTGCCTGAACGTTCTTTTTATTTCGGTGGGACTGTTCTCACCCGCCTGTGAGTCTGAAGCAATAAACTTTATGGCCGGATTTAACTTTAGTCTTTGAATCCCCAGGCTAAATGAAAGGAGGTAAAGCGCTTTCTTTTCTTGCGCCTTGCCTTTCTTCTCCCTCTCTTCTTTGCTTTTCCTCCCCTCCTTTGTAGAATTAAAGCATCTATGCACAGAACCCTCAGAAGACAACTTATGCCCCTAGACAACACTAAAGATTAGAGAAATTTCCTCCCCCACAACATACAGACAAATTCCTCTTCCAAACTGTGCCCTAAAGTTTGGGGGGAAATCGAGGTGTCTTCACTGCCCAAGTTAAAAGTCCCCAGAGCCATTAGCTTGTTTTTCCTGACACGTCATAAAGGGTGGTTTAAGGAAGAAATTGGTCGTTTGTCAGTAGGAGATTTCCGCCTTTCTTTTGTTAGCTGCTCTTTCTGTTTGATCCCAGGAAATTTACATAATCTATGATTTCCAAAACAGTCCCCAATACTGCACCAATGGGTGAAATAAGGTGAAATAAATTTTCCTGGGTATAATTCCAATTTAGCCCCAGCCACCCCTCTGGCCCCAACCCCACACATTCTTCAGTGGCAAAGCCGTGACTGGGGATGCTGTGGCCTGTCCTAAGGGTCTTTCTCTGGATGGGTCCCGAGAAAGGTTCTATCCTGTCTGAAAAAATAAGGCAAATTCTTTAGTTCAGAAATGAAACAAAAAGCGGGGGATCTTCTGTCTCCAGATGCTTTTCTCCTTAGGAGCTGGGTAGTTTTCTTCTGCAAGTGTAAGTTGGGAAAGATATTTACCAAGTGCTTCAAGTTGAAAAAAAATTAAAGTGTAGATTTGGAATTTCAACAAACTTTATTGTGCAGAGGCCACTTATACTCAACAGAAGTCTAACAGATGTCCCCAAAGTCCAAAAAGCAAAACCTGAGGCTTTGTTTTGAAAAACCAAAACATTCCTCGACAAGTCCCACTTCTCATGAAGAGTGGCAAGGCGGATCCCTCAAGTCATTTTGTGTAACCTGTTAAAGTGAGCACTGATATTTTAGCACTGAGGAGGATGTATTCAAGTCTTAGTGGGAACCAGAATGTAAAGCTGATTTGGGTTCTTATTATTTTATATGTGTGAGAATACTGGAGTCTTTGTTTTGCTGCTGAGTTTCAGGTTCTGCTTGGGAAAATATGGGGTCACAGTTCTATTTTTAGGTATTCATTTGGTGGTCTTGCTTGAGAAATTCTTGGTGACTAAAATTAGTATCAGAAAAAAAAAAAAAAAAGAGTGGCAGGTACCTTCCAGTAACTTGTTTGGAGGAAGTGTCCACTCCACCTCTGTGGTCACATCCCACCTGGGCTATTGATATCCAGCATCATACGATATAGAAAGACTTTCCATGAATTAAAAAAATACAGGTTATAAATGAATTGCTTAGTTCTTCCCATTTTCATCTTTATCAAACTTTAGAGTGTGAAAGAGAGTGCAGGCCAACTCACTCACGTGGAGTTAAGTGAGTTTTTAAAAATACAGCATCCAGTTAGACCTATGTGAGCATTAGTGGAAGGATTGTTTTCTCCCTGTTTTCAGAGGAAGCATAGTCAAGAGGATGGCTGATTATCTCCTCATTTCATAGATAAGTCATTTCTTCTCGTGCATTCTTTTGGGTTGTTTTTTCCAGAGGAACTCACTTAAAAAAAAATCTCTGCCATTGAGGGCTTTATGAAGACATCCAGCCTCAGCCGGTGGCAGAAGTGTCTGCCTGTGCCCCTTGTCTTGTAAGAGGAGAAGGCGTCCGAAATGTGCAGGGCCTCGTTTGTTTCTACAAGTTAAAGACACAATATTTCCTAAACTATAAATATAATAGGAAGCTTCTGGTCACACTTACTTAGGGGTTTGTTAGGGTTTCCATGGTCTAATTTCACAACATTATGCCAAGATTCCTTTTCTCCTGCTCTTTCCCCTGCTTCATTGTTGGAGGCTCTGGGAGAGCAAGATAGAATTTTCCACCAGGAGTGGAGTCATGTTCATTTGTTGAGATGTGAAGAATATTATATCCAAGCAATTAGTGTGGGGGAAGCAAATTACATCCTGAAAGGTGCACTACTGAAGATGAAAACAACCCTTTTAGCTTAAAAATTGCCCTTGGATTCTGTCCTTCCTCTTTCTACCTTTTGCCTTAGCTCAGGAGTCTGAGGTTTGCCCACCACGGAGAGTGCAGGATGTTGTAAGCTCCATCCCATTCGTTGCTAATGTAGAATTTCTTCCTGGTCCATAACAAAACTATAGATGGGGCTCCCAGATAGGGCTGGGGGTCAGCTTAGGCGCCCATCCCCATAGGAGAGGGGAACTATAGTCCTGACCATTCCGAATTCCAGAAGTGGAAGATTTGCCTTGTTTTGTTTGGGGTTTATCACAAAGAAAGCTGTCCTTCTCCCACCAGCCCGCCCCCCCAACCGATCTTTTCAATAATAATATTTGTTATGAAGGTTATTGGGTAATTATTGCGATTTTGTGAAGCAGCCCTTGCTGGAGGTGAAGTCTGTCATCGCCTAACAAATGACGCCCGCGCAGTTCACTGCCGGGTTAAGTAAATGCAGAGAAGATAAATCTGCACACCCTAGGAATCGCCAGCAGAGCACGCTTTAGTACAAGTTCACAGTCAACTCGCCTGCCTGGGCCACATCGCCCAACAATTAGGGCTTCGTCTTTATTTTTAAATAAAGGAAAAAAAGTCTCCAATTCCCATTGTCTGTTTCTCCCCATCTTTTCTTTCACTTTTCGTGAGGTTCTCCCATCCTACTCCAAATTTTCCTTGCAAATATAATGATTACAATGAAACCTAGTGATTTCAAAATAATCTCAGTCCTAATTTAACGCTGATAAAAAGAGGTAGGAGGCTGATTTGACAGAAAAGACAGTCGCTAACACACACAAATATCCAATTCACCCTCTCATTCCAAAAGGCAGCGGCAGAAGCAGGGCGTCCCTGAGATCCTGGGGTGGGGGGGGCCCTTCTCCCTGAAAGAAGAGGCACAGCTTTGTGTATCTTTGTGGTTAGTGCGTTGCAACTGCAGGTCAAAAAGTTGAGGGTCAAAAGTTTACATTGTGCAGCACTCTTAGTCATCTGCCCAGACAGAGTTTGATGTCAATGTTAGAGCTGCGATCTGGACTATCAGCACAAAAGATAAAATGGCTCGGAGTGAGGCGTGTATCACGGTATGGACTCCAGGTGAACCCTAGTGGTTGAATGACCTCAATTACGGAGGAAAGGATAGAAAATTCCTCTTTTCAAGAGTAATACATGCTGTATTTCATCTTGAATTATTGCTCCCATTCTGAGGGAATAGCAGCAGGTAAATAGGCATAGATTACTGAAACACCAACACCTTAGATGTTGGAGAATCAAGAGTCTGTTTGTGGGTTTGTCATGAAATAAAAAAGCTCAAAACTCATCAGTGGACCTTTAAGAAATCATGTAGCAAGTTTCCAATGTCCCATTGTACTTTCAAAACAAGGAATGGGATAGGAAACTTCTTTTATTTGGAACCGGTGATTATGATTGGCCAGTTCCTTTCTTTTTTGCACATACAGTGATCCCTAAAGTAGTGTGAGAACAAGGGCAAATACAGACACTTCTTGCAAAATGTATTTTTTGCCATTTTCAAACACAGAATATGTTTTCTGAAACTGCAGCCCACTAATTGCCAAGTGTTCTTAGAACTGGAAAAGGGAGGGAAGAAAGCAGAAACCCTTCAGAAAGAAACAGAACTCTTCCACTAGAGAGAAGGTGCTTATTGGTACCATGAAGACATTCCTGTTGTTGGAAATTTCTCTTTATGTTTATAGTTTAGCCCAAAATGAATGCAGGAGAAATGCTACAACCTGTAAGTGCTTAACTAAACTGTAGAGAGTATGGCATTCGAGCAGGAGGGTGGGAAATGCCAGTCCACTTTTTAAAACCACTGTGACAGACTTCTGCTCTCCAGAAAACGCTCTTTGAAAAAAATATACTTGGAATAAAATCTAAAGAGAGGGGAAGCAAGCTTAGGAGGAAGGGTGGGTGAACAGAAAAGAAAGGGAATAGTGTATTAAGGAAGCCGACTGGAACCATGCCTCATATGTGAGTTGTAACTGCAGAACTAAATATATTCTTTTTCATGCACCTATATCAACTGTAAGTGTGGGTGCCATTAGAATCTATTTTCTGGGGGCTTGTTTCCCTTTTCTATCTATTGATCTTCAAGTAATCGGTGTAGGAAAACGGAGGAGGGAGATGGAAATTTTTTCTAGGTTTTTCTTTTTTTAACTTTAGAGATAAGGTAATTCAGCTATTCAGAATGTAGAATCTTGCAGGGATGTTTAAGATCATCCCAATATATTCCCGATGGCTGGATTTATTGGTGCCAGGTACATCCAGTGGTTAAGTAAATATTTCCCAAACACTGCCTTCATGGAAATATCAGATTGCTTCCACTGTGCAATGTGTAAAGTTTTCACTCTGGCCAAGAGCTTGAAGCCAAATGGGGGTGTGCCAGATGAAAACATAAGAAAGGGAACAACTGTGGTGATTGCTGTTACAGCAGTGAACACTTCACCACATCTGGGCTGGTGAAATGAAAAAAATTGAAACCCCCTCTGTTACTCACAAAGATAAAATTACGTGTCTCTTTGAGGGAAAAGCCTGTTATTGTATTATTGGCTAAAAACATGTGCCACAACCTTGGAAGCATAGCAGCTTCGATAACAATCATAGAAACCTCTTCCTAGTTCTTAAAGGAAAAGAAAAAAAAAATACCTGCAGAAGATACTGCTTTTAGAGTGCTTACTTTTTTATTTGGAGGATCTCAATCTTTAGGCCTCTCACACAATTCTAGTTAAAATTCATATATAAGCCAAATATAAATCTCAATCCTTATGCCTGGGTCATGCTCATTTTTATAAATTGCTACAAGGAAATTACCCCCCAAAAAATAGCTGATAAAATTTCACTTCTCTAGAATCATATTCAATTGTTGGTGTGGTGAAACCCTCAAAAGCCACCATTAGCATTCTGAAATTCAGCCATTCCAGCAGAAGCTCCAGAGACGTGCTTCAGATAGAGAATAGTCAGTCTGGGGACTCTGGTTCTAAAGAACAAAGGACAAATACAGTCAATACATTCCATAACGTTTACATTTCCTTTGCTTCCCCCCCCCCCCCCCCCCAACCCCTTGGCTTTCCCTGAGAAGGAGTGACCTGGGCAAAGCACCCTGCTCTCTAAAAGACACTGTATAGACCTTTTAGAAGCGCAAAGTCCAAGGCCGAGGTGAACTTCAGGTCAGCGCGTCTAACAAATATGAAAATGTCGGCTGGTGAAGGGCGCGCCTTGTGATTTAACAAAGACTGTCAATGTGTAAGATTAATAAGAAACAAAATGCACACGGTGTCACTGTTCGGTCACTTTGAAACTTGGGACAGGGTTGCATTCAAGAGTGAAGGCTGTTCCAAATATATTCAAAATGATTCAAATCAGATTCAAACTAGGCTGCAAACACTGCCTCCCTCTCGCCCTCCCTCTCCCGCCGACTCCCTTCACTCTCCTTCTCCATCTGGGATTCGAGGACATGATGAAAAGTTATCTCACTTAATGGGATTTTAAGAAAGCTTTTGTTGGGAATATATGTTATCCCTCCACGTGGAGATGGCAAATGTACTTACCAGTTTCCCAAGAAAAGGATAACATTTTCACCCTGCTTGGGACTGGAGCCAGTTGGTGTGCGAAGATTAGCACGCTCCCTCTCTGCTCCATTTCAGGGCATCCCATCTTTTCTCGGGCAAGATGCTGCTGGTAAACTTCAGTTTATTTATTAATTGAGTTAGTGTCTTCCTGGTTTTACTTTGGTGTCTTGGATCTTATGTAAAGGCAAGCGTGTGTATGTGTGTGTGAGTGTGTGGTGGGGGGTATATGTGTGGGTTTTTTTTAAATGTTTTTCAAAAGATTATTTGATTCAATGGAATGATGCGATGGCTTGCAAAGAGAGATTGTGGAAGGATCAGAAAAGGTACTGAGATTGTTTATTACAGCCATAAATCTTGCAGTAAAATGTCAAAATGTCCGAGTGTGAGATAACACTTGGTGGTCCTGGCTCCGTTTGTGTTTATGATACGGACCACAAAGACAAGTTACAGGCCTTGGGGGATTCTGTGTAAACCCATCTTCCTAAAGTAATAGAACCACATGAAACACAGGCACAGTTAACTCGTTTAGGTTAACCATACACAAAACAGTGCCCGTGTCGCGTTAGTACTTTAAAATAGAAACTCCGTAGAAGGGTCTGAGGTTAAACAACATGAATTTTGTGTTTTAGTGTCTGTAAATAATATTAAACAGACATGGTTAAAATCCTGGTACTCGAGGCTTATGACATGAGGAAGAGGGCAAAATTTCCTTGTGTTTTTTCTCTCCCTAAAGCTTAGAGATTCCGGCTTTGTAAATTATATGATGTATGCATATATTATTCATGTTATATAGTACATAACATGTGCACATACTAATTTTTCTTGCTGTAGAGAGATATTGGTTTAGACAGCTATATCACAGGCTAGATTCTTCCCTGAGTCTAAAGAGTATGTCTAAAGATTACACTTAGTGTTGATTTGTCTGGCTCAGATTTCATTAAAAATTTTTTTTCAGGGTGTCTCACATCAAACGATAAAACAGACATCCAATGTAGAAAACTTCTTTGTACCACTTCAGGGCGATTCCAGTTAGAAAGCTAACTTGATCCCTTTTTTAACCTCTATTCCTAAATTAGTTTAAAGATTAGTCCCATATAATAGGCTTTATGTGGCTAAGCATTAAATGACTATCCATCAAATGGATATATCCCAGCATTTAGTAACTCATATGAGTAACCAATATAAATGAAGATAGAATTGACATTCCTTTTGAAGTGTCTTCAGGCTTAGACTGTAATTTTCCTTGTCTGAGTTCCAGACTCAGTTGTGAGAAGGCTGTTTATACTACTCTTTGAAAAATCAACTAAGGTGTACCAGCTGAAAAATCCTTGCTTTGCATGCCAATATGAAAGTATTTTTAGAATGGTGACTATGCTAGCTTGCACTGCTTTAACCTAGTCTGAAAAGTAAAGGATCTAGGTGTGTTCTGTTACTCAGAAAAGGGAAAGTGCATACTTCCAGTAAAGACATCAGTATTTACTTCAAAGATCAACATTAGGTGGAATTAATAAGTAATTTATTTGTTAATAATGGCATAATTAGTTTACCCATCAAATTTCAATTACCAAATGGCAGGCAACAGTCCCTTCTCCCCCCTTTCCAGAGCTACTGATAGGTTAATATGCTAATTTTCAGCGATTCAGAAATTATAGACTTCTGTAAATATAACTTTAGCCATAGCTACAGCTTGAGGAAGTAATATTCAAAAGTCAAAAATATATCAATTTCTTGGGGGCGGGGGTGGGAAAGGCCCATTGGCGATCAGACTGTGTACAGTGTCTATTTTATCCTAGCTTGTTTGTGTTCCGGATTGTTCTGAAATAGGAAGTTGTTGATTTCACAGCTCAATTTTGTCCAGGCATAGCTTCTATCCATTCCCACCCTTGGGCCACTTCCGTCCCCCAACCACACCTAGTAAATGTGGGCATGTTTAGCGCCTCACATCGCCACCTCCATCACATGAGGTGCTGCCTGGAAGGTTATTTTTCTTAGGGAAAAAAACCTTAAGATTCTGTCTCTAAAAGAAAGAAAAAACGAAAAGCGCCCGCCGATCTGGTTATAGTCGAATGACTTAGCTTGACATCTTTGGGGCCGTTCCCTTCAGCTGCTCACCCACCCACCCCTTTTCGGTTGCTGCCTGACATCTCTTAGCAGGGGCTCTTCGCGGGGTCGCGTCAAGCACCGTTTGGAAAGTGGTTCAGCCTGTGAGAAAACGGATCTCCTGGCTTCATTTGTTTTATTCCCGGGTCCTGATAGAAACATGACTACCCCCTCGGTCCGGACGCCAGTCCCTCCCCCAGCAGGCCTCGAACCCTGGAGCACCGAGGGGCAGCCAAGCTGGGCTCGGCCCGAGGTCAGTGCTGGGCCGCGGCCGCCGGCAGCCCCGAGACCTAGGCCAGTAGTAGGGCACGACTAGAACCCAGACCTGGCGCCTGAGAAAACCACAAGTCCAGCGAACCCCGAATTCCCAACAAGATTCAAAGTTGGGGGGGTGGGGGGGCCGAAGGCGCAGGCTCCCTCCCTCCGGGGCGCGACAGCAGCATCCATCACCCACCCGCGCTCTTCCTGATCCGGGTCCGCGCGCGCGGCACTTCCATTGGCAGAGGAGGGTCACGTGGAGGCACTGGGCGGGGCGCGCGCGGGACCGAGGCGGAACGCGCGCGCGCGCGCGAGCTGGGGAGGAGGGCGAGGGAGGAGCGAGTCGAACTTTGGTGGCGTTGGCGGCAGCGGGAGGGGGAGGGGTGGCCGCTTGACAGCGGGGGGAGGGGAAGGGAGCGGAGAAGGGGGGGATGGGACGTGAAGCGGGAGGGGGAGGGGCTTCGGCGAGCCCAGAAAAACGACAACGCGAGAAAAATTAGTATTTTTGCACTTCACAAATTAATGACCATGAGCTCGTTTTTGATAAACTCCAACTACATCGAGCCCAAGTTCCCTCCCTTCGAGGAGTACGCGCAGCACAGCGGCCCTGGCGGCGGAGACGGCGGCCCGGGCGGGGGCCCCGGCTACCAGCAGCCCCCCGCGCCCGCAGCCCAGCACCTGCCCGCGCAGCAGCCCCCGCTCCCCCACGCGGGGGGCAGCCGCGAGCCCCCGCCTCCTACTACACCCCGCGGGCGGCTCGCGAGCCCGCCTACCCCGCGGCCGCGCTCTACCCCGCGCCCGGGGCCGCCGAGGCCGCCTACCCCTATGGCTACCGCGGCGGCGCCAGCCCCGGGCGGCCCCCGCTGCCCGAGCAGCCCCCGGCGCACGCCAAGGGCCCCGCGCACGGCCTGCACGCGAGCCACGTCCCGCCGCCCGGCCGGCAGCCCCCGCAGCACCGCGCGGCGCCCCGCGCCCCCGCTGCGCTGCGAGGCGGCCCCCGCCACCCCGGGCGTCCCGGCAGGGGGCAGCGCCCCCGCGTGCTCGCTGCTCCTGGCCGGCAGGAGCTCGCCCGGCCTGAAGGGCAAGGAGCCCGTGGTGTATCCCTGGATGAAGAAGATCCATGTCAGCGCCGGTACGTGGCGCCGCTGGGGAGGCGCGCGAGGGAGGGTGGGGACCAGACCAGGCTTCGAGCTGCGGGGCGGGGGTTCAGAGGGTAGGGGACCTCGGGAGGGGAGCCCCCATCTGGCCCCAGCTACAGGGGGATGTGGATGCGTGCACGCCAGCCAGCCGCCTGACCCCAACGTGAGAAGCCTTTTGTACCCGGGGTCCCTTTATCGGGAGATTTACGAGACGCCAAACTGTTAGGGCAGTAATTATAGCCCCCATAAATTTAATTGCCCTGGCAGAGGCTTCAGGCCATGTGTCTTTGAAGCTTTTCTTCAGCCCCAATGCCCAGCACCATTCTTTATGGCTCTCGGGTGTTTCCCGTTGTCAATAGCCTGTGAAACATTTTCTTTGCCGTTTTATGTATCTTGCGTGAACTTGGTGTCAGGTTATTATATAATGATGATGTCCAATTGCTCTTCCCCACCCCACCTTCTCTCTCCTCCTCCTTTCCCTCTCTTCCACTCCCTCCTCCTTGGCTTTCTCCTTCGGGGTTACGGGCGTTCAGTCAACCCCAGTTATAACGGAGGGGAGCCCAAGCGCTCTCGAACCGCCTACACCCGGCAGCAGGTTTTGGAGCTGGAGAAGGAGTTCCACTTTAACCGCTACCTGACCCGGCGGCGCCGCATCGAGATCGCCCACACGCTCTGCTTGTCTGAGCGCCAGGTCAAGATCTGGTTTCAGAACCGAAGGATGAAGTGGAAGAAAGACCACAAACTGCCCAACACTAAGATGCGATCCTCCAACTCCGCCTCGGCCTCTGCAGGCCCACCAGGGAAAGCACAAACGCAGAGCCCGCACCCCCACCCCCACCCCCACCCCCACCCCGGGGCCTCCACACCCATTCCCTCCTCCATATAGTCTAAACTCTAGACCAGTTCTTTCCCTCACCTGTTTTTCTCCTCTCTCCTCCTGCCCCTTTTCCCATCCACCCCTCCTGTCTGGACCATAACAGGCCCCAAAGCAAAACCTAGCTTGGTTAAAGGGATAATAAAAAAGAAGACATTATCCTGGTAAGAGTGTGTGCTGGTTGCCACCCAAGGGAGGACAGTGGCCAGGATGCTGGCTGGTGGAACAACCTGCTGATCTGAACAAGACTTCCAGGTTTGGGTACCTGAGAAGGGACGCTTGGCAGCAAAAATACTTTTGAGGTGGCTGAAGTCAGCGGGGCAACCAGTGCGGACTAGGGACATGTTCATATAGATTTGTGGCAAGCAGAAGAAAACAACAGACCCTTCCTCACCTTCCTTACCGCCCCTTCTTCCCCATTAAGGCAGCTCATACAAGCTTGTATTGAACTGAATAAAATGGGTAGACATTGTGGACCTCGCAAGATTATTTAATTCTCAAAATGTATAGACCTTGATAGTAGGTGTGACACATTAGTTTCCTTTTCTTGCATTTATTTAAAATATTGTTGTAGAGATACTATCTTACTCTGAGGCACAATCTCCGGGGAGAAGGGAGTGCGTTTAGACCCATATGTGACTGTAAAAATTGTGGTGTGGCTATATAGAAAGCCATGTGCTAAGAATAAACTCTGTTTCAAAAAGCATTAAAGTTCTAAGACACATTTGTGTGTTTCCTACTTTTAATTTTTTTACAAAAAGTTCTCTGGATTGAGGTGCTTGACCTTGCATATAAAAATCTTGTAGATGATGGCTTGAGTTGTGTTCTTGACTTGACTTGGATTCTGACTGCTCACATAATTTGTGTGAGTGTGTTCAACTTCAGCTGAACTCTTGTCAAGTTTGACCTACTGTGGGAAAAGTTCCAAGGAGCAGGAAGACTCTTGAGCTCTGAGAGAGCGCCTCTTCTTCCCAAACTTGGCCAGGCTTTCAGGCTTCAGCTCTCTGTAAGGCATAGAAACGTGTCCTTCCCTGCAATGAAAGGTGAAACCCTGCGGTGCTGTGGGCCCAGGAGTTTCTGCAGCTGTTCTCCATGCTGAACTCTGAGCACACTTGGAAAGAAATGGTCCCTTTGGTATTTATTGCACCTTCACACTTAATCTGCCTGTTTCCCTGGAGATAAAAAATAGTTTTTGCAAAGAGTTGAGATTGCTTTTCATTTCTTAGCTATTTTTAAGGTCCTCTTCGCTAACTACAGCTTGGGAAGTTTTGTTTGTTTGCCTGTTTGTTCCCTTCCCTCCTTACGTCTTTCTTCCTTTTTGAAAAATAGGCTAAATATCCTAGTTCACCCTCCAAAGTTTCTTCCGAGGAAAGGAAAAGCATAACACCACAAAATGCACCTTTAAGCGAGGTAGATCTGGGAGTCTTTGCTGCTGGAGGAAAAGTCAAACTCTGAAGGAGGACCAATTTCCTCAGATGTTCTCAGATCTTCTTGCCCCAAAGAGAGACCTAGATTCAAAAGATTGAAAAAGTCAAAACCATTTCTCAGTCTCCACAACCTGGTATTTGTTTACTGATTAACAAATCGGTAAAGAGGATTTTAGGCTTGGTTGCCAGTACTCTGCAGCAAGATATAGAAAACCAGTGCACACCAGCTTCAGAATACTAGAGCTGCCACCTGGCTTGAATGAGTGCAGTTTTCACTTCATAGAATAATTTTAGCAGAGATGGGAGGGGGTGCTCACCTACCTCTGCAATGTCAGAGGACTGTTAAGCACATTTTCCCATCAGTAGCAAACCCTTAATCAATGGTCAATGCTGTTCTCCTTTTGCCTCTGCAGGCAAAGGTGGTCAGCTCACCTAGGAACAAACCAGTTCTGAGAGGAAAGTGATTGACACCTGTCTCTGAGGGGCCTCCAAGAAAGTACAGGGGCAAACAAGCACACATCTTCCCAAGTCAGGGCAAACTTGGCATAAGGTGCATTTTGCAAGGTATGAATGGCTGCCAGGGATTTCTGGAAGCATTGTAACTTCTGCTGAGACTTATTAACCCTCCTCCTACTACACGCACTTGTAAAACGAAATTAAATCATGCTGAAAATAGCAATTTTCCCAGGAATCATTAATCACCTCATGCAATAAATACTTCTTTGTAATTCAACAGCAATTCTGAAAGGCATTCTCTGGGAAAAGTCTGTGGAGAATCGAGGGATCTTCTTGCAAATAATGTGGTCTCGGGCAAAGACGCAGCATCTTGGCTGTCTGCTCAAAAAATGCCTAGACTCTCGGTGGAAATTGAGTGTCGAGCTGCAAAACCTCAAATGGCAGATTATCATCATTTAAGGTAAATTCTTATATTTCTCCTTTGTAGGGAAGGAGGGACTAGGGCATTCATTAACTTCATACTGGAGGCAGATGTATGAGGGGTGAAAGGGGTAATTTTCTTTCCCTTACTCTTATAGTCTCCAGGAAAGGAAGAGACTATAGTTTTTCTAATATACTAGGACAAAAATGGCATTTTTTCTCTCAAACTTTCTTGATTATTAATGTGTTGGTAAGTTTCATAAAGCCAAAATGATGCAAAAATGACCCAAATGATTGTCATTTCTTCAGTGTTTTGCCTGTTTCAGGTTTGGTCTTTAAGGGTGCTTGTTAGAACAGCTTAGAAAATCCCACTTTGTGCTTCAAAATCATGCATTGTCTGCCCTTTGCTAGGGCAACCATAAGAGTTCATCCAGAGGACAAATTTTCTATCTCATTAATTGTTTTTTTTTTTTTTTTAAGCGAACCCTACTGGCCCCTCAAACCCTTGACCTTTAAAGACAGTATTTTGTGGAGGCTCTAGAATTCTCCTACCAAGTGGACTGTTACACATGCTCTCCTCTTCTTTCTCTTTCTCCCTCCGTCCTTCTAACATACGCTCATCTGCTTTCGTCCTAGAACCAAGCCGTGTGTGACTCTAGAGATAAAAGTTTTGTCAACATCTGAAATCAAACTAAATCGGATAGGAGACACTTTAATGGTCACAGTTTGAATTAAGTACTTAACACTCTCCCCCCTGAAGAAAAATGGCACTTTGCAGCCTCTCTTTCCTAGTTTTGCTGAAATCTACGATATACCCGGTGTTTTATTACAGCAGGAATTCAACTGTGACAGGCATAGTAGAGTACTTAATACCCAGGATGGAGCTCCTGGGAAGATTACCTAGATATATGGAGAGTGGGTCCTCTGCACACTGCCACTGACATTATACCCAGCTGTTCCAGGGTGCCCGTATTCCCCCACCTCGCGGTCTGCTCCTCAAGGGGTGAGTATCACCCTGCTCCCCTAGGCTTCCAAACTGTGCTGCTCATCTCATCGCTGCCTTCCCTCTAGCAGTTTCAACATAGAAACAGATCAATGACTCTTTAGAATGGGAGAAAAGAAAAACCCCAAAGAATCAATGTAGCCAACAGGAACCAGGGACATCCTGACTGATGGATGCATTCTGTATAGGCAATAGGCGTGGGGTGGTTTTTTTTTTTTTTATTTATTTCCTTGGTGGGTCTCTGCATCCCTCACTATAGCTCTGTATAGAAGAGTTCACCTTTCCCACTGGTTGCTTCTGCTGCCCCATTCTCTATATTATATACTGGCACAAGAAAAACTGCTTCCTCTCTCAAAGGATATGGCCTGGGAAAAATAGGAAAGGAAGAAATGTGTATTCTATCTCCTGGACAGTATCAGGATGGCTACTGAGGCTGTTGTGAAACATTCTAGCCTGAAACTTCTCTCTTGGAACCCTGGCATCACTTCTTTTTAAGGCTTCAAATTCATAGAATAACCCCTTCCCCCCTTTCAGGACTGCCCCACTCTTTCAGGGATTGATTCTTGGGACTAAAAGAGATTCCCTGATGGGAGGAATGTCCAAGGTTAAAGAGATCTGGAGGCCATTTTGGCTTAATCTTTTCATGCTACAGATGTGGAAACTGAGGCAGCTGAATGACAGCCCCCCCCCACCATGTTCTTTATGTTGATGGGTCTGTCCTTGAATAGAGCCTTTGGACTAATCCTGGGGTTTATTCTGCTGGAATGGACATATGCCTTTGGGCAAACCCTTGGTGTGGAGGCCTGTGGAGGCCACAGGTGTCTGGTGGCTGGGGAAGAAGGTTAGGTTCTTGCCTGATGTGCCATCACATCAGCCCTGGGGGGATTCTGTAACCCAACTGCCTAGCCAGGACACTGAGACAGGTGGGCTGACCTCTGGATTTATGAGCACCAGGAAGTCAGGGCACCTGCGAGAAGAGAGTGGTGGGCTTCCCCCTGTCCACAATACTAAAAGTACCAGAATACCTAATTCTACTATGCTGTCCCAGAGATCTCCTTGACGGTGGCTTGTCTGGTAGCTGGTAAAGGGAATCTGCTTTCCAGACTAACGCTGGGAACTAAAAAAGCCAACCAACTGAGGACCCTGGTTGCAGTAGATAAAGGTGTAGAGCCTGTTGGAGGGAGATATTGAAATTGTAATCTTTGAGGTCACGTGACTCATTAAATAATTAATGCGGATTGTCAGGAATGGATTGGAGTCTTCAGGGCCTCACTAGGAATGAATCTCTCACAAGTGAGACCCCAACTTCCTATTTGACTTTTAAAAACACATACCCTCATATTTATCTCCAAAGGATTTTAACTCCTGCAGGAGGGCAGGAGACAGCCTTTCAGCAGGGGGAGATCGGAGGTGGCTGGCCCACTCAGGGTCTTGGGGCTTTTTCTGCATTTTCTGTGAGTCCGGGGAGCGTGCTGCGTCCGGGGGAAACGTGAGTTCGGCTCGGGTTTTCTGCGGTCACATCCTGGTTTTGGTGATGAAGTGGGACGGATGCGCACACAGTTGGTAATGTTCTGATTCACACTGGGGAAGACTGCGGAGATACCACAGGATGGGCGCGCGGCTTTGTTCAATTTTCCCGGTGTTCATAAATCACCCGAGCAGCGCCGGGCGAGCGAGGGAGCAAGGGAGCGCCAAAAACCGCGGAGAGAAAGAGGCCACAGCGGCGGCAGCCATTGTGGAGGGAGAGACCTGGGCAACATCTCTTTGTGACTTATTAGTCTGAAGGATTTATGGCGAACAGCAGCCACGAATATTTGACTTGGGGATAAGGAAATAGCAACAACAATGATAACCATAATAATTACAATACTGCCAAGCCCTCCGGGAGGGGTGGTGGTGGCAGTGGTTGGTGCTTAGCGGAGATTTCTGGGGCAAAGTCGAGTGGCAACGTGCAGAGTAGCTAAGCCCCACCTTGCTCAGGGTCAGGCCAGGAGTCCCAAAGCCAGGGGGACACTCCCTGTGGAAACACAGGGGGCCAGTATGCACAAGAGAAAGGGGCCCAGCATGGATTCTGACTCCCAAGTGCCGGATGGAGGAGGGCAAAGAGGGGCTGCGCCAAGGCCACTTGTTCAGTGTGCTAGGGCGCCCTGGAGTCCTGAGATCAGGGGACTTGTCAGCCATTTGGTAGCCTCTCTTGATGCTTTCAGCAGCATTGCACGGAAGCAGGATAGCCATTGGGGCTTGTTGGGGACAGGCTGGAGTCTGGGGAGGTTGCTCAGGCTTGGGTGAAGGGTAGTAGGTAGGATAGGGCTGTGGAAGCAACCCACCTGGCAGTCCCAGCCTAGCGGAGAACTTATGCAAGGCAGGACCAGTGTGGAGGCAGATACTTTGCCCCTTCTGCAGTCTTCTCTATTCCCTAACCATCCCCTCCAAAGTTGGCTGATGGCTGGATGTCCCTTTGCTAGAGGGCAAGAGATAGTTGTAAATGTCGTGGGTGGGGTCAGGTGGCAGCAGAATTAGGGCATGGAGTGAATTTATCACTGCTGGGCGAGGCAGAGCTGGGTAGGCCCCCCTGATCCTGTATTGTCCCAAGCCTGCATCCTTCCAGCTTCCTCTATTTCCAGTAGTCAGAGTTGGCCTGCTCTGAGGAGACTGGACACTGCCGTTGTCCCCCAGCCCACTGGGACAGAGAGGTGCTGCACCCAAGGCTTGAATTAACTCCAAAGATAAAACCTCTCAAGACTGCCCACCGCTTGTGGACTTAGCCTGGGTCTGATTTCGCGCCAACAGAATTGCGCTCTACTAGTGAGGTTTCAGGAGAGTCGGTGATTGAATGCTCCCAGACAAGGCTTCCCTTTGTTAGCAAAAGAAAATAAAGCATGCATTCACATTCCCTGAGTTGAGGTGCGTGAGGAGCTCTCGAGCAGAGCTGGCACCACCAGCAAAACCTCTTTACTTTTCTACCTTCCTCTGCCACCTTCATTTTCTTCTCCTTCCCACCCTCTCCCACCCTCCACAAAAAGAAAGAAAATGGAGAGTGTGGGTGCGGAGATGGAGTATGTATTTATTTTACAAAAATAAATCACCATCTTCAGGCCATTTGTAGACTGGAACCTTTTGAGCAATGAGCGCGACGCATGGACGAGTGCTCTGGCGACTCCTCCGTGTCCGCGTCACCCTGGGGGCCACCCTGGCGCCCGCGCCGGCGGCGCTTCCAACTCCGGTCCTCCAGCTCCTTCCTTAGCAGCCACTGTACGTTCACTCTCTGCTCTGCTTTTTTTTTTTTTTTTTTTTTTTGTCCGCAGAGCGCCCGGACACCGGAAAAGGCGATTTCCTGAGCGCCCGGAGTTGGAGACTATCCCCGGTTCGGTCTTAATCATCTTTCGAGGTAAGCGCTCAGCCAAAGCTCTTCGCTGTGCAGGGCTTAGCAGCCGGCCTCTGCGAGGAGTATGCGCTCCCTGGCAGCCGCAGCCGGTTGAAAGAGGTTCTGGTCAATATTTAACTTCGGAGGAGTTTTTGGAGCTGGGTTCCCTTCAGCTGCAAGCCCGGAGGATGCCGGGCTTCAAGTGGACAAAGAGTCTGCCCCAAAAGCGGCGTTGTGCAGGAGGGGCGTCTGCAGAGACTAAAGACGTGTGTGCTCCCGTGGGGGTGGCTCAGAGGGGTGTGTTTGTTTCTAGCGGCAAACCCCCAAACAAGCCACTGCACGGAACGCACAACCTCAGATTTGTCTGGACAGCAGGACAAACGCAAGTAGAGGCCACGGGCACAGCGACAGCTGCGTGGGCCGCTTTCCTTGAGGACTATTTGCAGAGCCTTGGAGATTGTGAGTTCGGAAATTGTCACCAGTCCCACCTCCGCGTTGAGGAAACTTGTCTCGCCGCCTTGCAGTGCCTTCTACCCTTTTGCCTTTCTTTGGCTTGAGGGAAGTTGCTGCATCTTAGGTGTGTAGGCCTTCGCAGGCAGCGGGTCTTCTCGGTTCTTTTGGCCAGGCTGATCTGCTGTTGTTTCTATGGGAAGAGGACCGGTTTTCTGTCTCGTCTCGGCGTTTTCTTCTCCTGTTTGGAACAAGGAAAAACTCTTTAATTTTTTTTTAAAGTTCTGGCTTAATTTGTTCTTTTACTTTGGGATGCAGGGAGGTAATTACTGTGGTTTATTACCTTGTAAAAGATCCATAAATTTCGTGCCTATTTGGGGGAGGGGCTGCTGGGATAGCTTTCGAAAGCTTGGTATGAAGGAATTGGTTTGCTTTGTTCTTTCGGCAATGATTTCTTCTTAAAAGTTTTCTGATATTTTGTTTTCTATTCCCTGGTCCTCAGTCTTTTCCTCAAATTCGCCCCCCAAATAGATACCAGGTTGTTAATTAATTGCAACATACCACTCTTGGATCCTTTAAAGCTGACATGGTGTTCTAGATACAGTTGTTTTTATATCAGATAGGAAGTAAACAGTAATGGTAAAGCTGGGTGGGTTACTTTCTCAGCTACTGTATATCTATATCAAGTATAGAGGGAACATCTCAGGAAATTGCAACTCAGTGTGTACATATGATCTGCATCTCTGCACACATCAGAATCATCACATGGACAAATAGTTACAGGAGTTTGAGACAGTGTATATAAAATGATATACACATCCATATGTGTCCAGAGAAGTTGGAGTCCATTTATACTGCAGTTGCACCCACAGGAAATATGTCATGTTAAATAATAATCTATAACCTACACCACAAAAAAAAAAAAAAAGGGAAAAGAGCTTTACCTGACACTGAACAGAAAAACCACTAGAGTTAACTAAAGAGAGAAAAATGTTAAGTGTATTTTTGACAGAGAAATCAGATTGCAGTGTTTGAATACAGATATATCTAATCAGCCAACAGCCTTGCAAATATTGACTAAAGCTCTATCCATAGTTACCGCTCCTTCCAAGACAACTTTCTGCCTACTTTGGCTCTGGTGGTCTGGATCCAGAGCCTGTGTCCTTAGTCATAGCCAGGAGAAGTAAATGGAAGGGGACTGGCCACTAGGTTTCCCAACCTGGGCCTGGGTACTTGAGCATCTCTCTTCTTCCTCTGGAACTGAACTTTAGAAGGCCTATAGCCTGGCTCCAGGAAAGTGGATTTCAGTGTGGAAAAGGAAGATTCAGTTGCCCGGTTCCCCAGTGACTTACCCAGATCTCAGTCTCTCTTACTGAAGCCAGTTTTACCTCCTGAGTTAAATTTCCTTTAACCTCCTCAGAATTACCCCTTTTCATCCCACCAAATCACACCACTCTACCCCAAGTCCTAATGTTAATTGTTAAACAGCAGTTGGAGCATTAACTGGGCTGTTAATAATAGTGTGGAGGCTCCTTTGCTGGAACTGAGCTGCCTGCCACTGGGCTCTGCTGGCGTTAAGGCATTTTCCTGAAGGGTACCAAAGACTTTTCCCATTGATTTATGGCCTTGGGAGTTTTTTGGTTAGCTCCAGACTGTTCTGAGAGTTCTGAAGAGGGCCCCTTCTCATCTTTGAGTTAAAGCCTCTGAGAAAACTTTGTTGGGGGGGGGAGGGGAGTTTTCAAAAAGATTGGCAATACTTTCAGATCCTTTCTAGCCTGTTTGGAGAGTTTAATGTGAAATATTGGAGGGACGAGGATAATATATTAGTGATCTGAGAGCTTGGGAGATTGGAAATTGCTTTTTGGAAAACAGCCTTTGGTCCTGTCATCTATCCCTCAAACCTGAGAGGAGCAGGTTTTTACTTTAGACTCTTTACTTTTCCAGCTCTCCAGCTTGTGAGCTGGAAAAGTTCATATAGAGATTTTCTCCCAGCTAGAACATTATTGGAATATTGCCACCAGCTTAGGCCAGGGTTCACTTCCAAGGGATTAGGTCTCCTTCTCTTTTATTGCCCATCTGATTTGGATACCCCCATGACCAGGGCCCCTTACTGAGGGCCTTACATTCTCACCAGGCCCCTTCTGTTCCCCTGCAGGGGAGGAGAGGAGAGCAAGAATCATGCACAGCCTCCTGTAGCTGCTACAAGTGAGTCCTCACAGTTAGACCTAGCCAACTAAAGATCCACTCTCAAGGAACAAAAGAATTTGGCATGAGGATTTTGCCACCACAGAGCACTCTCAAAGTTCAGAAACTAAAACCTAAAAAGAGGAGCTTTTTAAGCAGTTCATGGGAGGGTGAAGTGCTGAAATCAGTGGACAATGTCACCAAGCAGAAGGTGGGAGTAGGAGTGGGGGAACTTACTTGTTCCAGTCAGTTTCCCCCTGAATAGACTTGGTCCAGTTCAATATGCTGGTGAACACAGAGTTGTCTTAGGGGAGGGTGGACAGCCCTGTCTGCAGAGTCCCAGGCTGTCTTGTGGGTTAGTTCAGGGGATGCCAGCAAATGTTGGGTGTTTTTTTTTTTTCCACCTCTTGCAGAAACAAGATCATTTCCCTTTACATTTTTCAGTGTTAGAAGCATGTTCAGTGTCAGAAGCCTATAATTTCATGTATCACTCAGCTATGCACTGAGGAAGTGCAGGTTTGGTCAGGGTACTGGATCCTTCCAGATTTTGCAAAACCCTGACCCACCACCTCTTTCCTAGGGGGCCTCCCAAGGAACAAAACCAACTGGACTTGGAGGAGGAGGTGCCTTACCCTTTGTCAGGTAATTATGGGCCTTTTGGGTTTATCCAGCGGCTGTGGTGTATTGCGTGGGTGTTAGCAAATCCATTCAATGGCAGACAGTGAGAGAGTCCACTGACTAGGCCAGTCATTACTGGGTTTTCTTCTGGAAACAGGGCCTGGGTCTTGTCTTCCCATGTTCCAGTCAGCAGGCCACAGAAGACTGGAGTGCTGGGTATTGTGGGTTCAGCTTGTCCCCAAGCAGAACACTGTAAGGAAAGTTATGTGAGCTTTGAGAATAAGGATAGTATTGCTGTTCCTTTGTGTTTGAAGTGTGTGTAAAGAAATATAAGCGGAGATAAGTGGCCTGGCATGGCACGTTGGTGGGGGAGGGGGTGGGGTGCCGCCCCCCTGCGTCCAACAGCCCTAGACAAAACTCTTCTCTGCTGCTGGTCAAGGTCCCCCACTTCCCCTCCCCCAAATCTCAATGTTCTTGCTTGGAAACCTAGTTCCTTCAGTGATTCCCTATTTCAAATAAAAGGATTTAAGTTGACGTATGACCACGTGAGCACATAATACAGCGCATTATTGTGGCATTTGGAGCGGAGACCCAGGCGGGCTTCGCCTGTGATTACGTTTTCTAGATTCTCTACAGAGCGAGAGCTTCCCCCCCACCCCTCCGCACCCACCTCCTCCTCCTTCCCCTTCTCTGGAGAGCGCTCTCCTAGTGGGTTGCAGTTTTCAACGCTCATGGAGCAGTTCTGGGCGAGCTAGCGGATGGGACTCGAGGCTACACCAGGAGGATGGAATTTATTTTAAGGTATTTCCGCTGATTGTTCATATCTAGAGTGAGTTATGGCCGTGAGAGACAGAGGTCAGGCGAGGAGACCCTGGTTCACGGACAGGACCCTCCGTCCCGCTCTTCCTTTGTTTCTCCTTTAGAACTGAAACCATTTGAAAGATTCCCAGGAGTGGCTCAGACTGAGTTTCATTCCCTAGAAAGTGTTGGGGATGTAACCAAAAAAAAAAAAAAGGTGTGGGAGGGGGCGGCTGGGGGCTACTAGGTGGGCCCGGTGGCCTCCAGCGCTCCGGCGGCTTTGTCCACTGCAGCGGGGCAGGGCTTGAGTCGTGGGGCTGAGCCCCAGGCAGAGGGATGGTCCTCGAGCGCCCACACGCACCAAGGTGGCCCGCGCGCAGCTCGCCGGCCGAGACTGCCGGGACTGAGTGGGGGCTGGGTCAATGAGAAGGGGACTCGCCCCCAGGTTGGCGGTGTCTGCCGGCAGGGATGGAGGATTAGGAATGACCTGGGCAGCCAGAGCAGCTGGGAGAGGGAAATCAATGAGTGTGTAGTTGCGCTGCCATTTTATTGATGATGCTTCGGGCCACTTTGTTCAGTGCTGGGTTGCAGGACGCCCTTTCCTACAAGCCAGACCGAAGAAGCGGGGGACCCAAAGGACGCGCCATTGTTTCGCGAGCACCCTCTGCCCTGGTCCGGGTGGAGAACAGCTCAGATGCAGGAGAGGTTTGGAGTGGGGGCAGGCGTGCTGGACGCCTGCAGGCTTGCTTATTCTACCATTAGGAAGACAGAAAATGATCCAGACCTCGATTTTGGCTTATAAATGCGCGAGGCCTGGGTGCCCCCGCGCTCACCCCTGTTGCCCCCCGCAGCCGCCAGGGAGTGTTTGAGCAGTGGCTGGAGCGTCCTGGGCTGAAGGAAGTCCAGAGGCAGAGTCCAGAGGAAGTAAAGACAGACATTTTTTTACTTCAGAACCCCAGAAACACGGCGCTGTAGCCAGGACGGAGGCAGATGAGAGTTAAATGGTGTGCTTCTAAATTACTGGGAAAGCCTGATCTAATTGGGCTTTGGGGACTCAGCACTCCTGGGGAGGATAGGAACTCTGAAAAGATGTTGGAAACTTCGCTTTCCTCAGCTCTTGGAACTCTGAGGCCAGAGGAAAGGGGGTGCCTATAGAGAACCCGGAATCGCATTTGCCTCCAGACGTTTTTTGTTAAGCCTTATTATTATTATTATTTTTGTACGTGGGGGGGGGATCAAATCAGGTTTCCCCTACTTGAGTAAGATTTACTTTCCCATAAAGGAAGGGCTGCTCTGCGCCGCCCCCACCCCAACACCCATGCCGGCCTCAGCGCTAACCATGTTTAACTGAGGCCATTTCAAGTGCTCTAAAACACCCCTTGGAAATAAAATGTAAGCTTTAATTGCTGTTCAATTACTTGTCAGCATTTCATATGATTTATGACCCAGTTCTGGTGCATTTTTGACCCAGTTAAAGACTCATAAATAATATAGTTTCACTAGAAAGAATGAGAGAGGGAATAGAGGTTTGTTAAAGGCATCTTTTTATTGTCGCTTCAGTGCCAGCAAGCAGAATAAATATCTAAGGATGGACTCTTGAGCCATTTCTGTATAAAAGTGTGCGCAGTAAGAAGCCAGTAGTCCCATTTATAGAGCACCAGTTGGTTTTTCCTCCAAGGGAAGAGCTAAAGTCACTCATTACAGCTAAACTGCAGCTATAAAGTAGGCTAGTCCCCTTTTACCATCAAAATACCAGCTTTGCCTACACAGGCAAGGCTATTTCCTTCGTTATTTTCCCTCCTTACGGTGGGATTCTCATGCGTCTTCGTGCCAACAATTATTCCTCACCTTCCTCTCTGGCTGCGCACACAGCCTCGGAGGCACCCGCGGCCCTGCAGACACGTCCACAAGGAGACCCCCTCGAAGGGTAGAAAGGGCCAGTGCACCTTCACTGTTCCATACATTCTTCTAGTGCTGAAGAGGTGTTTTCTTCTAGTCCCCATGGGCCAGAGATCGGGAGTAGGGGGGACTCGGGGGGCTTGGGGAGCCAAGGGATCCTCTCAGCAAAGAAAACCTTAGTGGTTTTGGCGGAGCCGGGTGAATCGCTGGGAGATTTGCCTACAAAGGGCACAGCGGAAGCGGCGGGTCACTTCTGGTGGTGGAAATCGATAGGCGGTAATTTCTTTTAAAACCAATAACAAACAAACAAAAAAACCTTCAGCGATTCCAAATTGTTTTTAAAATCACCTCCCTGCCTTGCTCCAAAAGCCAGTCCTTTGGATTTCAGAAAGGCCTGCACCCCAGCAGTCTGTGTGCCAGTAGCCCGACCCCAGTCTGCAGGTCGGAGCTCCTCGTTTATCCGCCGCCACCCGCCACCCAGAAGCCACCTAGTCGGGGGCGGGCGGGCCGTGGCCGGAGCTCCCGCCCCGGCGTTCCGTCGGCTCCCGCAGATCGGCAGGTCGGGGCTCTTCGCCCGGCGCGGTTGGCCCGGCAGGAAAGGTAGGGGCGCTGGGCGCCCCAGACCTCACCCCAGCGCCCTCGGCTCCTAGGCCAGGGCCGTTCCCGGGCCTGGCAGGTTCAAACAGAGAGCCGGCCTCCCCTGCAGCTGGCTTAGCTGAGAAGGCGGTGAGAGTCGAGTCAGCAGTTTGGAGGAGAAAGTGCGGGTTGATTATTGACCCACGCCTTCTTTCTTCAAACGCCACAACCCAGCCGGCCGGTTTGAAGAGAAAATGCCGCCGAGCGGATTTTTGCGGCCGCCTCTCGCCTCCTACGCCGCCCGGCTCCCCCTTTCAAGTTGCGCTGCCGCAATATGCCATAAGGAGCAAGTGTTTGCTGTTTTGTGCTCTGTTTACAGCTTTGGGGCGCCGAGTCATAAATCTTGCCTAGCCATAAATGACAAAAACCATTGGTATGCATGAGGCCACCCTAGCCCGAAGTGCTTTTTGATTTCTCCCTTTTCCTTTGGCTTTGTTTTTGCTCTAAGGTGACACTTTGACTCCCTGACAGTTTAAACATACTACTTATATTTTTAACACCTTCCTTTTAGAAGGACCGGCCGTTGACACCTTGGAATTGCACGAAAGCTCTATTTCTCTCTTTTCGCCACACACCCCCCTGGCAGAGTTCACTTGTGAATCTGGGAGTGGAGGAGGCGTTCGGAGGGAGAAGGAGCAGCCTCCTCAAATTTGTGGCACTATTACCAGCCACGCTCGGGCCCGATCCCCTGCTCGGAGTCCCCGGGCCACACTAATTAGGAAAAAATGTGTGTCATAGATGCCGGTCGTGTCGGCGTCGCAGCTTCGTGGCTTTCCCGGGAGTGAGCTTCGCGTCTGTGCAGTGAAATGGGCACTGGCGAGCGGGAGACCCAACTTTCCAGGCATCCCGTGTGTACCTGAGCCCAGAGGGGCCCATTGCACTGCCGGGATGAACACCGCGCTCGCCAGGTTACCCCCCCACCGGCGGCCGGGATTTCAAGGGCTTCTGATGAAAAATATAGGCAGCCCGGCTGGTTCTTGGGAAGTTTCTCTAGAAAGCAGGTCCTATCCCAGCTCCCCACCCCCCAAGCTTGACTTGAGGTTCTCGGATGGGGTTTGGCAGGTGAGGTAAACTGTCCAAAGTGTGGGCAACTCCCTCCCGGCCCTCCTTGCCGGCGCCACCCATCTGGAAGTGACCAGGGCAGAGGGTGACGGGGTTTCTCAGATTCCTAAGAAATAGAGCCCTGCAAGAGAGCCCCTTTGTGAGAGCCTTTTGTCCTCATTAGCATAATTTTTCTGGACTTTAGTGACGCCTAGGAACGAGGGGAGGGAGGGCACGGGGGGCTGGGGGGGGGCTGCCCTCCTCTCCCCGCGGCGGCGCCCCCCCCTCGCTCCAGTCCCTCCCCTCGCCTCGGCCCCATCCCCCACGCCGGCCCGCGCTTCCCCCGCCGCCTCGGCCTCCCCTCCCGCCCGCCCCCAGCACCCCCACCGCACCCCCCGACCAGACGCTGCTCCGCGTGTAATATTCATAAGAAACATACCCAAGTCGGTGCCACTAGCCCAGGCAGAGCCCGCGCCGCGCTAGCGCTTATCTCCGGGCCGCGGCTGCTGCCCTCGGGAAGGGCAGGGGGCGGGGGTGTGGGGGAGGGGTGGGTGGGTGGGGTGGGTGGGAGGGGGGGTCCGAGCCGCCCCAGTCCGCCCTGGGCGAGCCGTGCCGGAGCAGCGAGGAGGCCACGCTCTGCGCCGCGGCGTCCGGGCCTCGGGGTCTCCCTCCCGCCCGCCGTCTCGGCGGATGCTGAGGGTCGGTGCCCATCCCGCGCTGAGGGGACCCGGCCGGGCCGCCGAGCCGGGCGGGGGCCGGAGCCGAGCCCCAGCCTGCGCTCGCGGCGCCCGTCAGAAGTTAAGGTAAGCAGGGCCACAACCGGCTGCGCTCAGCGCTGAATGGCGGAGTTTACGTCTCGGTGATTTATGGCTGCAGACTTAAATCTCGGTTCAAGAAGAGTTCACAAGCCGGAGCTTCCTTCCCGGCAGTGACTGATACCCTTACACTTCGAGTTCAAGCCGCTTTCCCATCCCCGCCCCCACCTCTTCCCTTTCCTCTAGCCCAGCCTCAACTTTTCTGGCTTGGGGAGGGAGGGAGGGGTGGCTAAAGGGACTGGGAGACTCTGGCCAGGCGTTCCCGCTCAAACTCGGGGTGACGGCTGAAGGTGCAAGGGGCAGGAGGGGAGAGAAGGAGCGGTGACGGAAGGAAGGAGGTTGAATTTGAACACATCTTCCAGAGAGACAATAGAGCTTGCTTCCTGCACTCAGTTTAGCCTCCTTAACTCCCTTGCAGCTCCTGCACCTAGGGCGTATTGTCCAGAAACACAGCTTTTCGGAGAATCTCCTCCCACCCCCAACCCTTGCTTAGGGTGCAAAGCAAAGTTTTCTGACTGGCAAATCTCCAACTTCTTTACTAGGTTGCAAACTTTGGGGGCTTGGTTGAGGGGAGCTACTCTTTGGGCCCCAAGGTAGTTGTCTGGTGACCTCGAACAATAGGAAAGACTTTGGTGGGCTCTCTGAGGTGAATTCATATGGTAAATTTATGGTGATGGTTGTATGCTCTTTGATTTTTAAAGATGCTGTTGTTATTTTATGAGACAATGCACACCTGGCTGAAAAGATTTAAGTAAGCAGCAGGCCAGTGTAGCTTGTGAGACTAGATTAGCAAGTCACTTGAAATATTGCGCATTCAAACTCAACTTAATTTTGTTTTATCTAATATCTTGCTGTTCAAGTGTCGACTAATTTTCTTAGCCTGGTGTTTTATTTTACACAAGCTAGTATCTTAAAAATTACAATGGCAGACATTAACACTGCCAAATGAAATAGGAGCTGTTTTTGTGAAAGAACAGGAACTGAGACATTAAACTGCTATTCAGTTTTAAATTTTACTTAATCTTTTATTTACTTTTGATCTTGGTATCTGTAGCTTCCTATCTATTTCCAAAAGAGAAACAATACTCCAGGGCTCAAGATCACTCACAATGATTGGGATAAGGGATGCAGTAATTTTTAATTGAAGTTCTGGAAAATTAAGTGTGCCTGTTTTCCAGATGTTGGTCAGATTGTTGGTTTAGTAATACAATCCAAAGCAGTCCATTATCAAAAACAAAATTATGATCCTCCCCTGGTAGATGCTCATTACCTAATTTTTTTCTTAGCTAACATAGTGTTATTCCTAGAAAACTTGAATAATCTAGGACTCAAATACACATAGTTGGGCCTGGACATGTAAACCCTTTTCTTCACTGATTTGTTATTGTACATCTTCTTAAATGGTCAGAGACACTAACATTTGAAAGAGAGAGAGAGAGAGAGAGGTGTCACAGAACTTTTCAGAGCTAAGCATGAAAGGTTGACTACAAAAAGGTTGAACACAAAATACAGATTTAGATTCTACAAATTCTTTCTAAATAAAAAGGGTTAAGGTTTTCAGTTGCTTTTTATATTTTCAGGATTAGCCTTTACTTGGTGCTTCTGAAGCAGGTAAACAGGCCAAGCACCAAATAGCAACAACAACAGCACACAAAGATCAGGGAACTCTGGCAGGATTTTATGGCTTGTGCTTCCATCCCTCGTCCAGAGCCAAATGACCCCCATACATCAAATTACATAGCAGTTTCTAAGACAGAACCTATTATCGTTAAGTTGGAAGGAGAGTTCAAGCCGTGGTCATGGAGATGAACGCTGGTTTTTCAGGTTCCTGGTGGGTTGTTTTTTTTCTCTAATCCATCATGTTTTAACAGGTAGAATTTGATAGTTGCCCTGAATAACAGCACCTCAGAAAGTCCTAGGGAGGAGAGGCTGGGGACCTTCTGTAACTGGGGAAAAGAGGTGGGAGTGGCTTGCTGGAACATGCCTGAGAAATAGGGAGAGGAAAGGAGTAAAGAATAATTCAGGATTTTAGTTGTGGCTTGCTGGAGGGGGTATTGTTGTTGGTGCCTCCAAACACAGGATGTTCCATCCAAAGTTTTCTCTCCCCCTTTCTGGCCACCAGGGGCTCCTTTAGATGAGGTGGGTCTGTTACTGCACATGGGTGGGTTGGCTGCCTAACAAACTCAGTAGCATCAAGTAGGGCGACTGACTGACCCCAAAAAAATTGTGCATCTCTCTCTTGGGTGCTGGAAATCCATGAAGGGGCTGGGCGGGAACTCACCCCATGTCAGGGTTCTTTTTGGCAAATATCAGTCCTAAAAGGCTTGGAGAAAACATTGGCGACCCATGCTCCTTTTTGCTTCCTCACCCTTTCTTCAAGATACCCCAGCGTGCAGAAGTCCCTGGGCTCTCTGAATGAGGCCAGGGAATACCCCAAGATCCCTCTTCTTTGGAAGAGGATTCTAACCCTGTTTCTTCCTAGCGCATCTGGCCTTTTTCTTCTGGATTCCAGCCTCCAAGATTGGGCTTCTAGCCCTTACTCATTCTCCTCCTCTCTCCCCGGAAACCACTCCCCCCCCCCAACTCTAGACGCAAGTTAAGCAAATATTTGTAGCTGCCAGTAAATTCCAGCAGCTTTTTATAGCGCGGCTCTCTGCGCCTGAGGCCAAGTCGTGCTGCTAAATATTGCTGACCACTTTTTCTTTTATGGCTTTCATGTCACTTAGCTATTGAGAGTAAGATGGATTTGCGCGGAGCCCTCACCGCGCTGCGCTTCTCGCCCCCCCAGGTCTGCGCGGGGCGGCCATTGGCGGCGGAGCGTCACGTGACCACCGGGGCGTGCCAATGTGCGCCCTCGCGGGTGTCAAGCCCCTGTCAGAGTGTGCGATCAAGATCTTGAAACAACGCGATGCAAAAAGCGACCTACTACGACAGCTCGGCGATCTACGGTGGCTACCCCTACCAGGCAGCCAACGGGTTCGCTTATAATGCCAGTCAGCAGCCGTACCCAGCGTCCGCGGCCCTGGGCGCCGAGGGCGGCGAGTACCACCGACCAGCTTGCTCTCTGCAGTCGCCTGCTAGTGGCGGGGGCCACCCCAAGGCACACGAGCTAAACGAAGCGTGTCTGCGCACCCTGAGTGGCCCGCCCAGCCAGCCCCCAGGCCTGGGCGAGCCGCCCCTGGCCCCCAGCAGCCCCAGGCCGCGCCCCCTGCCCCACAGCAGCCTCAACCCCCACCACAGCCCCCCGCGCCCACTCCTGCGGTGCCCCCGCCCCCCTCCTCAGTCTCCCCACCTCAGAATGCCAGCGGCAATCCTGCCCCTGCCAGCACGGCCAAGAGTCCCCTGCTCAACTCACCTACCGTGGCCAAACAAATCTTCCCTTGGATGAAAGAGTCCAGGCAAAACACAAAGCAGAAAACCAGCGGCTCCAGCTCAGGTAAAGGGATGCCTACCAGAGGAGGGTCCTCTGGCCTGGCTCTGGCCCCCAAGCCACTGGCACTACATTCTGGAAGCACTGGGACATTTCCAAGAATTCACTGCTGTTCCCCCTCTCATCCCCCCTTCACAAAGCTTCCAGATCTTTGAAAGTAGGGAGGTGACAGGGCTCCCTGTGCCCAGGAAGACTCCTGAGAGGAGTCTTTCTGGACTGCTCAAAGAGTAAGTGGGACCTAGTGACTTTGGAATCCCTTTTTGTTCTTCTCTTGGAGTGAGGATCTTTGAACAGAGCAAACCTGAGCTCCATTATCTTTTTAGCACATTTGTAAGGAAACACTAACAGCTACCTCATCTTAAAATGTAGCAGAATAAAAGTAGGTCTGATCACTTCTAGTCAGAATGAATGCTTTGCCTATAATCAGTACCTAGTTTTAATTTTTGGCCCAGCAGATGGAGTGACTGCCTTACCTCTGGGAAGGCCCTACTCAGACTTAGTTCAGCCAGGGATCTCCTTGAGAAGGGGATATGGACTTGTCATCCTAATGGGGGCCACAGGAGGCCGCCTAGTATTGGGCTTCAGTGGAGGATAGGCCCCAGGTAGTGGGCTTCCACCATCGTGGTTACCTTTGCCCTTGCCTTCTCCAGTTGTCAGTGCTCTGCTCTAAACCTGAGTATCTGGAACCCTCCACAGCCAGAATTGGAGGGCCAGAGAAGACAGGAGGACACCAGATCAGTGGACAGAGCTGGGACAGGCTGCTTGATGACCTGGAGAGCCCTAACTAATATGAACCACAGCAGGGGGCTGGACCTCCCCACCAAAAATGAACACTTTCAATAGAATGTCTTCCTTTGGGTGGAGAAGGTCTTCCAGGTTGGGGCTTCCACTCCTTGCATCTCCACTTGGTGGACTAATGAGTGGCCAGTTGCTGGGTAGATTAGTGAGTGGCCAGTTGAGGCCACTGACCAGTTCTTCAGTCAGCCAGCGAGCAAGGGAAAGGTGTATCGAGTGTTTGTTAGGTGCGCCACATTGTGAAGGGAATGTAGATTATGAGACCTGCCTACAGAAAGCCTGTAGTCTGAGCGGTCAAAAAATCAAAATATGAGTTATAAAAGTGAGTAGCTCAAAGAAGAAATATAGACAGACAAAAGAGGGCAAACTGGAAGTTCTACTTTTCTGCCCTTACTCCCCCAACAAAGCATGGGGGGCCATGCTTTGCAGCTTGACTGAATGAGGGGGTAGCTACCCAGCCCCCTCGCTGTCTGGCCGGG